CTACATTTCTTTCCAATTAGATTATTATTTCAAATATTTTTCCCGTGTGCATTCGTACTTTAAAGGGTCAGCCATATTTATTTTCTTTTCGAGTGAGTTTCAGGTTTGCTTAAGCCTTAAAAAATCATTTCTTATCTTTGGTAAATTGAATATCGCATCGCAAGCTATATATTCTATCCCCATTCGCCAGAGCCGCTGGCAACGGCCTCTCAATTGCCAACAAAGTTACACAAACAAACACACCGACCTCCGAAAGTATACATTCGCCTGCAAACTAACACATTAGGCGGCGTTTCCTTTGCCAAAGTTGCTTGACTTCGCTTTTTGGGACTGCTGTTTTTGGGGCCGACAAACCGGAGACGACAACAGCAGCAACAACACAACAAACAAATAAACTGACAGACACTCGTTTCCGTTTTCAAACAAAACAGACGCCATATTTAAAATTCCAAACGGGGCACCCCGGCAATATAAGCAGGCAAACAAATGAAATAACACAAAATTGCCGTTTGCTAAAAACTTTTGCTTTGCTTTTTCAAGTTATTTTTTTCTCCATTGCCATTTTCCATTCGGGATTCTGAATTCTGGCTGGCTGGCTGCTGCCAAAACAAAGAATTCTATTTAGTGAGCCGTACGTTGATGTGGACAGGTTCATTGAACGCGATTTTGGATTTTACTCGAATGAGCATAAATTTGACGCTTTCCCATGGGGACTCAAACTAATTGTGGAATTATGCCAAACGATGGAATTTGCCAGCGCGCATCGAGTATCCGCTCGGAAGATGACAGCCTTTCGGATTGTTTGGCATTTATCATCGCATCATCATGGTTGCTGCGAAAGCAGCCCAAAAACTTGCTGACCGGTGGCCGTGACTTCCGTGCACCAGAAATGGAATGAAAGATTTATTCCAGATTCGCATGACGAGATAGTGTGTTGTGGCAATAGCACAACAGCGATGGCACAAAAGACACGTAGGCCAATAAAAATGCCATCCTCGTCGTTTGCTGGGCTCCACAACTGAAGTTGTATATTATGTTAAAATGATTTGTGTGGCCAAATTGCTGTTCAGACGTTGCACTAATTTCATGGGAAATGTAATGAAATGCATGGGGAAAACAATCAATAAAAGAATGGGATAAGTACAGTAAAACTTCTAGGCTATAGGAAGTAGTAACATTACATTTTGAATTTTTAGATGTAGGGTTTTGAACAGGGACCGTAAATAACAGTTATTTGTGATTTTTATTTTAAAAGGCCTACTGAGATTTGTACAAGTTTTTATTAACAATTTAACTGGTTTTTATGCACTTTATAGACATGAACAAATAACAGTTAATTTGCTTTCCAGATTTGTTGAAATGCATATACTTTGTGGACAAGAGTAAAAAGAACGTTATTTTTGACGTTTAAAACCAAATATCACAGTAGTCTTTTTAAAATAAAAATCACAAATAACTGTTATTTACGATCCCTGGTTTTGAAATCACTTGTAAATGTCAAAATAGGTGCCTAAAAAGATGCAGTGAATAAAGGACTGAATGAATTTATGTCAGTTTTAAGCTTAAAATCAATTGTTGTTATTTTTATTAGTTTGACCTTAAGTTTACCCGTTTTAAACTTCTGATATATTAAATTGTGATTTAAAAGCATTAAAAAAATATTATAAAATTGGAATTCGGAATATAATCCATTTTAAAATATATTTGCTTTCAATACAGAGTAATTCCTGAGGGTATTATATTTCAAACATCGCCTAGAAGCGAGGGGTGGGAGTTTCACAATAAAAAACCCTTCCATCAAAGGATTAGAAAAATCTATAAAATCGCTGGGCCCGTCAGAACGCCACCCATACATGCCAATAAAATATTTTATCAAACGTACGTGCTGCTATTAGTCTTCTCCGACTTCCCCGCTTTCCAACTTCCCCAACTTGCCCCGTCACATGTACGCATATCAAATGACTGCGTTGATGTGTTGAAAGCCCGGGAAAGACGGGAGTTGAGTTGCGTTGAGATCGGGTGAACGGATGTGCCGGCGGGGCGGTCAACCCTTTTTTACGGCTGGTCAGCGGAGCACTCTCACATTCCGGATGGCTCCGGTTCTGGTCTCTGATTATGCGTCGTGCGGCCATAAATTTATATTGAAAGACGTGCGCTGTTAATCAAATTAAAGTGTTTGATTAAATTTTAAATAAAACTCCCCAATCCACCAGCTGACGCCGCAGCTGCAGTAAAAGCTGAAAAATGAATATAAAAAAATAATGTGAATGAAAATGAAAATTAATTTAAGAACACGTGGCGTATGCGCTATAATCAATTTATGAATTATGCGCAAGATTATTAATTAAATTCTGTTGTTCTGCGGCGAAGCGATAGAGCACTAAAAAGGATACCCATTTAAGCCCGGTGCTAAAGAGAATTTCGAAAACGTGTCGCAAAGTACGTAGATATTCGAAGACTCTTTTGCCCACTTTAAAGCGCTTAACGGGCCAACTGAAGTTAAATAACAATTTCACTGCTCATTAACCCTAATTTGTATGTAAATTTTTCGGCTGCCCCGGTTGGCCCTTTTTTCCCGGGCCCACGGGTATTGCAAGGGCGCCCCGTTTTAAAGGCGAACTCTTCGCCATTTTGTATGTTTTAAGTAACGCACATGACACGGAACGCAGGGAGTTACTATAGCCTTGGAAAAGGGAAATGGTTTGGGGTGGGAAAGGGGAGCCTCCATTATGGAGCAGTCGCTTTCTTCAAGTTGCAAATAGTGCGGGGCATGCAAAGTGCAGGAAGCGAGAAAAGAGTTGCTTGTTTGGAGCTGGCCTGGCCAAAACGAGCAAACGAGAGATGGCCAGAGATAGCCGGGAAAATGAATGGAAAATGGGAGAAAATGAGTGGAAGATTGTTTGTCTGCTGCCCTCATTCTCGCTTACTCGTTTCCTCGCCATGCAACTGAGCTTCATCTTCCATTAATTCATCCGCCATGGTGGCCAAACAATAGGCCCGCCATTCCACGATGGCCAAATTTTGGTGGCTGGTGCCGAAAATGGTTCACTTTACTTTTTTCAGAATTTGAACATTTTTCTTTACTACTTAGTGTGTACAAAAAACTCTCGCCAAAATATTATTCCAAAAAAAAGCGTCCCAATTCGCAAAGAAAAGTCAAGACAAGAAATACTTTGAAAAATAGTGTTAAAATTAATTTCTAAAAATTCCTTTTAATTCATCTAGTTTTTTATTTTTTTACTAAATATAGTATAGTAAATATGGTATAGTGAAACAATAATCATAAACCTATATTATTCATCATAATGCAAACTAAAATTTTGAAACTATTTTTAATAAAATTCCTATCTTTACAAATTTTTTGTAATAACTTGTAAAATAATATCGGTGCAATCTTAGATCAAATTGGTGTCTACTAGCCGTTTAATTAATTTGTATTTTTAATTGAAAATGCTGCTCTCCCTCTGAAATTGGCACACATTTCGGCACTCGAATTTTTGTTCACTTTTTGGTACGCTTTTTTTCGGGTAAGATTTTTCGTTCACCAATTTCGCGTCCCAGTGGCAACCGGGCATTTCCATTTTTTTTTTTTTTTGGTTTGCCCAAAAACGGACTTTTGGCAGTCATTATCGGGATGTTATTGTTGCGAGGAACCGACTGAACGGGCGGAGTGCATTAAAACAAAAGTGAGTGCATGTGCAGACACTCCAATCGCCTCGCAAGGACATCGCTTTCCAACTCTCCAACTGGCAAACGGCAAACAGGCAAACAAGAAATGACAGCAATGCAGCCTTGTGGCATGCAAATTCAATAAATTACGGCAACGACCATTAATTATATTTTAAATTGCAATGTCCACACTGGCACACTAGTGGGAAAGTTTTATTTTGCTTTTGCTTTTGTTGCGAGCCCCTCTTTTTGCATTCAGCCGGGCAAATTGTCGCAGCTTATCTCCTCTGCACGCATCGAAAACAAAATGTGGCTGCCTCACTGCCACATGGCCACGCCCCCTTAGGCCGCGGCCGCCCATTTGTGTTGCCAATGAATGCGCCGCAACAAATAAACCACTTTTGGCCATTCCCTGGCACAAAAGATAAATAAATGCGGAAAAGAAAAGGGAAATAAAACAATGCAACTCCAGATGCAACTTCAACTTTTGTTGGGTCAGTACTACAGTGGAACTCCCTCTGTGGGGTTCCCCCCGGTTCTTAAACCATTATTATCGCCCCGCGTAAACAATTCTCGAGTCGGGCCTGTTGACACTGGCAGCAGCATGTCATTAAGGGCGACTCGACGTCAGTAGCCAACCGCTGACGTGTTAACTGCAGCGCGTCCAACTTTTAATTGGTTTTAAGTCACAAGTTAATTTCCATAAAGCAAGGGAAAGCTCGCAAAAAAACCGAGCAACAAAAGAACACGGAGGGAAATAAATCAAAAATGTCGTAAATGTCGAAGCAAAAGGGTTAAAACTCGATTTTAATTTAAATTTTTTAAATTTTAGCACGAACCAAAAATCACAGAAATTTATAGGGATTTTTAATCATTTGAAATTTAAAGATTTTCAATCAAATTTTAATGTGACTCTTGAAAATGTCATGAATATAATTATTTATTTAAATGATATAATAGAAACTAAATTCAAAATCAAGAGTTCACTTACAAATAGTTGAAAGATTTCAATTTTGGTTCATTAAATGGTTACATTGTTTTAAATACTTAATACCAAAAATATTTGTATTAATGCCAAGGTGTTTTTGAAAAGTTCACATATAAAATGTAATATGACTTTAGTTTTAGGTAAATATTTACTTATAGAAAAATAGAGTATCGCTCCGAAAAAAGTTAATTAAAATAATCAAATACAAAAGTATTACATAAGCATTCAATGGTTAGAAATGAAGTTTATTAAAATTTTCTTATTTGTACCTAATATTAAAATATTATGCTTTTATCTATATACAAAAATTACGAGTATTTTTTTTCATTTCCCGCAGTGTCTCCTATTTCTTGGGCTTGCCTCGTTTGCCGCGTTTGGGCTTCTTCTTAAAGGGTCCCAGACCGCGTCTTACCATGGTGCCGCGCCACCAGGCCTGCAATCTTACGGCGCACTCGATGCGGTGAATCTGAAGGTCCAACAGGCGCTGCTCCTCGGCCTTCTGGGCGCGATACTCCCGGACATAGGTCATCCGTTCCTCGTAGATCTCCTTGTGCTTTTGCAGGAGCTTCTTCTGCTCGAGGATGCGCAGCTCCCAGGCCTCCGCCTCGCGATCCACCCTTCGCATCTCGCTGACATACCGCTCCTGCCACTCCTTGATTTTCGAATGCAGTTCCAGGATTTCCCGCTGGCGAAAGGAGCGCAGCTCGGCACTCACCCGCTCCTCACGCGCCAACTTCTGTTTAATGTCCAGGATATCGCGTAAATAGGCCCGTTCGGCATTTTCACCCCAAATGGTTCCCTGGGCCAGGCGACCCTCCTCCCAGCGTTGCACCAAACTGTACTCGAGGTCATTGACCCGCGACACGCAGCGCAGCTTGTACTTGGTGTCGGCTATGCGCTCCTCAAGATCCTGCAGCTTGTCCTTGGTGGTCCGCTTCTCCGTCTCGAGATCTTCTCTTAGTTGCTTTAGTTCGTCCTTGGATTCTTGGAGTTGCTGGGCAGCCTGGGACTCCTCGCTCTTGTTGCCACCCAAGGCAGCTATGGCTTGCTTAAGGTCCTCCAGACCTTTATCGGTTTCCAAGGTTGCCTCATCTTTGTCAGCTTCCAGGGTTGCCTCATCTTTGTCAGCTTCCAGGGTAGCCACTTCCTTGTCTGCTTCTTCGAGATCTACATCATCTTCAAATGAACTTTCCTTTTCATTAATTTGCAGATCCATAATTTTCATATCATCATAGTCCTGGGAAGTGACTACTTTACTTGCCAATTCCTCTTCCTGAACATCCTGACCCTCCTCCTCCTTAAAATCTAGATCCTTTTCAATATTTTTCTCTGCCAATTCCGGATCATTCATGGCCACTTCGAAGATCGTTCTCAGGGCATCCATATCCCTTTCGAATTTCAGGGCATTCAGGACATCTTCGTCCAGCTGATCGGCATCGTTCTCGTTTTCGCCCAGCAGAGATTCGAGTCTAGGAAGGACCTTGCCCGTAATAAGGACTCTTTCCGGTTTCTCCTGCTCCCCCAGCGACGAACTGCGTCGTCGGCGCAGGGAAGCGGGCAGCGTGAGTGGTTTCCTGGCATTCAAACGCTGTGAACGCTGTTGCAGAATCAGCTGATTCAAGGTGTTCCCATAGACGGTCAGCAAAAGGATGCGTCGCAGTTCCTGCAATTGCTCCGCCGTGTGTCCTGCCGACATTGCAACTACAAAATACCAAATACCAAAGACAGAATGGTTAAAAGTCAATCCCTGGCGAAAGTTCACCCCGGGCAACTGTTGCTAGGATGTGTGCTGTAGTTTATAAATGTTTGGCTTTGGCTTTGGCTTTGGCTTTGGCTATGAACTCGGATTTTACCTCCTCGCTCTTAACTTCTGACTCATGGAAAAATGCTTGGGTTCCAGGACCTTCTGGCTTGCATATTTCATTGCTGTCATCGTCCTCGTGGCTTACGTGCGAAAATGCCCAACTGACTGCGTCAGAGACCCCTTATTGCACAGAAATCGTTGAATTTATTTGCCATCCTCGCCGAGTCCTTTTCCTTCTGTATCTCCGGCTCTGTATCCTTGGGGTTCATTCACTCCTTTTCGGGGCCATGCAAGTATGCGTCTTCGCCCTGGGCGCTTGGCTTATATGTTTAACCCAATAAATGCCGCGCTGATTGCAAGTTAAATTATTGGCGCGCACAACTCCAGACCCGCATTACAATTAAATTATCGCATTAACCGCAAAACCTGCACGCCGCCAGCTCTGCGACTCCGTTCACTCGGACATTTTCCCCATTTTCCCAGCATGCCCGCAGCGACAGGGTTTAAAAATAAAATAAGTACAGGGACCTCTTTGGCATTTGCAGGAGATGTGGTAGTGGCACTCGATTACCCTGGGCTATAAACGCAGAATTGTAAAGGAAATTTGGTTGTCTGTGAAAAAGTACTCATTAAAAATTAAAAGTAACAAAAATATATTAGTAACGATGAACAAAATTATAAAATAAATTTCAAAAAGTTTAATTAAATACAAAAGGTTCTTAAGTAATTGAAATAAAAGGTTTTCAAAGTTTTTAAACACCAAATTTTTTTTAAATTTTCTAAATGTATTATAGGTAGCATATTATTTACATATATTAAATAAACATTTTTTAAACATATCAGAAAAACATTTATTTAAAATAAAATATTTTCAGATGCGAAAATAATGAAAAAAGAATTTAGATAAAACAAAATTTATTTAATAATATTTATTTCCAGTATTTAAGTTTAATTTAAGGTCGCCTTTACATTTTACATTATAGACAAACATTTTATATTAATATTAATGATATTTTATTTTTAGTTTTTATTGTTTCCTTTCTTATTTATAGATTTTAGTAACAAAATAATTTATTTGGCGTCCCGAAAATCCCTGTTTTTAGAAAATAGCAAACAGTTCCTAAGTCCAATACAACCTCTCATTAAATAGATACTCGCAAAGGTCAAATAGCCCCGATCTTTTGCGAGGGTAATAGGGCGCTTTAAAGGCAAACCGCCGAAAGTGGTCAATGCACCGGGCGGCAGTGTCTGGCGAATGGGTCGTAGTGAAAAATGGCAAGGAGGACATTAATTTAATGCCCGCCGATGTCTCGCGCACACACGCAGAGATAGCGAAAGAGACGGCAAGACTGCGAGGAGAAAGAGACGGCACGGGAGAGAGGGAGGGGGACAAAACGCACACATGGGGAGCAGAGCAGCAAGCAGTTCGCACTTGGCGGGCTCTTCTGCTTTCAGCTGCCATTATTTTTAATAGACTCGAAAAGAAAAAGTTTTCAGTTTTCTACTTCATTGACTGCAAATCGGCAAAAGAAGCGCTCTTCGGGTCGCCATTCCCATTCGCCGTCTTTTAAGGATGTTAAGGATGCCAGCCAAAATTAAGTGCCCCCAAAAAAGGACGCTGTGCAGCGCCTGATAAGCACTCACATACATACACTTCGCACAACTGCAGCGTAAAGTCAAACACATAAATCGCCCACGCTCGCCACAAGCGAAAAAAATGTCAATTTCCATTTAGGTTTCTTTTTTTCTCTTCTCCTCTACAACCCCCGTCGCATTTTGCCAATGCAAATGTTCGATTATGACAAACTTTCCATTGATATCCCAGCGCGCACTCAGCCAAAAATCCAATCGAAGATATTACTTGGGTGCCAGGACATGCCAAGTCATCCGGCTATTAATAACTTCAAGGCCCCGTCGCAAATTGTTCGGGCTAAATAATAAATATGCAAATACTGGTCTTCAAGTTCGCCAGACATCCGCGACTCTCGCAACTGTCTAACCTGCCAACTTGTCCATTTTTACCAAGAAAAAGTAATAGAGCAGAATAAAATTTAATTATAATAAATCAGTAAAAATTTATTTTATACCACAACTTTAATAATAGAATTTTTGTCTTATTTTTTTTAATTTGCTTTAAATAATTTTTGAGAGTATTTAAAAACCGCTTGATAAACCTAAACAAGTTTATTACAACGTTATTTGGTCCTTTTCAAAAATGCACTTTCAGTATTTTTAGCCAACGCTTAAGGAATGTCGCGAATTTCAGTTAGCCGAATTGGTAGCGACAAGGAGAAATTGTCCGTGGTTCTGGTCGCTTGGCAACAAGTTCATTTTGGCCCTTGGCAAAGGTCAAGGAAGGCGACTGAAGGGGTTTAGAAATAAAGGTATATTTTTTAGAATAAATTAAAAACATTATCTTACCTTTAAATATCATTAGTAAAAGGAAATAAATTTATTTTAGTAAAATCCATTATAACCCCTCACACAGAGCCCCTGATCCTTTATAAACACACGCCCTTGCCCGCTGACCCATCAGCATTCTGTGTCCCCGAAAACGAGGAACCGCGGAGATAACCTGCCGCACATATGACAGGATGGCCCCTCCTCCTTCGGCCGTTTGTTATCCCCTACATGTAAATAACCAAAAATTTTATATTGCGGCCCGCAACCACGACACCGTGACAACGCCGGCACATAGCCATCTACCATATACTAGACATGTGGCGCACATGGAGAACAAGCCAAGCCAGGACGAAAGCCAAAGCCAGGAGCAAGTCAAGCAGGACACGGAGTTGCTGTGGCTTCGGTGTCGCTGGCAGGAACAGGAACAGGAGGAGCAGGAGCACGGGAGTGGTCACTGCTGACGCTGGGAGCGCTGATGATAGCAGGACAGGACATACGGGGACATACGCAGGACATACAGGACATGCAGGACATACGGGACACCGTGGTGAGCGTGTGAATATGTCAGCGTGTGCGAGAGGTCCTGTGTTGTTGTCTGCGGCCGGGGGAGTGATAGACGCCACTACCATTAATTCACATTCAGGTGCCGCACGCTTGGACGAGCACAAGGGGAAGGGTCTGCACTGAGAAAAACCTTTGCAATTCCAATTAAAAGTTTGCCATTTAACAAATACTGAAAACTACTTTAATCTAAATTTATATTTCAACACGTTTTAGGTTAAAAACAAGAGAGAACGCTATAGTCGGGTTGTTGTCCCGACTATCTAATACCCGTCACTCAGCTAAAGGGAGTGCGAACGCTGTGTCGGGTTGGTGTCCCGACTAATAATCGTAACTCAGCTAAAGGGGGTGCGAGGGAGATAGATAAATATTTTTTGATTGCGTATATCTTTTTAATGAATGGTCCGATTTGAAAAATGTCTTCTACATTTCGATAGGTATAAATATACACAACAAAATTGCATTTATACTTCTCGGAAATCTTTAAAGATGTGGGCGCAGGACCCATTTTAAAATCGTTAGTGGGCGATTGTGGGCGTTAGAGGGGGCGGGGCGCTCGGCTAAAATAAACTTGCGCTGCGTAGGAAGCCAAAGAAATCTCAACCTTCTAGCTTTTGGAGTTTCTGAGATCTCAGCGTTCATACAGACGGACAGACAGACAGACAGACAGACAGACAGACAGACAGACAGACAGACAGACAGACAGACAGACAGACAGACAGACAGACAGACAGACGGACAGACGGACATGGCTAGATCGACTCGGCTAGTGACCCTGATCAAGAATATATATACTTTATGGGGTCGGAAACGCTTCCTTCTAGCTGTTACATACTTTTGCACGAATCTAGTATACCCTTTTACTCTACGAGTAACGGGTATAACAATTATACACGATAATTAAATTAATTAGACATGAGTTCAATACCAATCGCAGGACAATGAATTTTTTTTTTTTTATAAAAATGATTGGTTAGGGCCAAAAAATTATTTTCTACGATTTATTTAGTATTTAGTATTATTTAAAATATTACATTTAATTTATCAAAAAGCCCTTTAAAATTACACCTAACTACAACATTTCTTAGTCATATTTTTCCCCAGTGTAAGCCCGGGTGCGAGTGTGCGACAACAACATGTGTTTACACTCATCAGAACAGGAATGGAAGAAGCTGGGCCCACTCGTGCAGGCAAATCCCGTGCAATGCATTATAAATGGCTCTACCGAGTTCCTGTGACCCCAGACGACTCTTCACGTTCTTTTTTTTTTTGGTTTTCGGGCCCACTGAAAACGCAAGCCAAGAACGGGAAATGGGAAAACTGGACGGAGTTCAAAAAGAAGTGACCCACTTGCCGGGCGTGTAATTAGTATACCACACAGGGCTGAAAAACAAAAAAAAAACAACGACAGTGGAATGTAAAATTCATGGGGCGAAAAATCGAAAGTTAGTTGCTCCTCAATGCGTGGCACGTTGGGAAAGCCGAAAGCCGACCGTCGACGAGGGAAATCGATAAGAGCCAAATGTCCCTGGGCAATGCCAAGCAACCACCAAAATAAATACGCAAAGGAACCACCAAGAAATCGGGGAGCCATGACAACGCCACTCAGCGACTCAGCCAAACAAATGCCAGTCGCAATCACCCATACGAACACTTAAATAATGCGGCTCTATTCGAATAAAGTTGCCTTAAAAATAGAACACACTGTCGCATTAATATCCCCGTGCCAAGCAAACTGTGTCAATAGCGGGTAGTATTATTGCATATGGCCAGTTGAGTCGGAGCCGTCGAGAGGTAAAGTTCGTAGTGGTTCCGGCCGAAGAGCGAAAGGATATTTAAGCCATGTTTCCACAAGCGGAGCTCGAGAATTACAAGCTGCAGGTGGAGTTGCTGCAGGAAAAGCTTCAGCGCAGGTGAGCAGATCCAAAAACTGTTATAAAACTGTTATTATAACTGTAGCTATTGGGCAATAAATTTATGCCTATTTTAATGGCAGCACTTTAGACCAAAAATGAAAATCTCTATACTAGTTAAACTAATCCAATCATTAAATTATGCAATTATTTTGTTATTCATTTATTATACTTTGGATTTTCCATGAGGCTATTAAATCGGCGCAATTATCGTTATTATTTTAGAATCATAGTCGACAATTAAAATTAATAAGGATTACTAAAATGAAAATATTTAATACCTTTTAAAAGTACTCGGTGTTCAATGTCGTTATTAAATAAATATAATTAAAATGTCAAGGTCGTAAAAATGTTTTCTTCCTATATAAAAATACATAAACAGATGGATCTTAAAAATCTTTCTCTGTTTCGACTAAGTTAAAGTACAACAACTACAAATTAGAAGTACAACAATTAAAATATTTTCTGGAAAAGTTTAAAAAATCATTTGATAGCTCTACCTTAAATTACATTAATAAATGAGCTCTTGTTATTAAAAATACTTAATACTCAAGAGCAAGAAAGATAAATAATTTATGATTTAGAAATGAAAAGCTCCGAAGACACAACTAAATACAAATTTATGTTTAAACTGATTTTCTTTTATACCCTGTTTGCGGGTAATTTAAAATGCCCTGCAGCATCGAGCATCAAATCACACAAAGGCCATGTCCATTGATTTGTGTTTGTCAGCTTTTCCTAAGCTTTTCCTGTGCATATGCTTACTAAATCAGCTTACAAATCACATGCATGCCCTTTGACTCGACTTTCTCCCCGATTTCCTTTCTTCTCTCTCGCAGCGAGGATAATCGCCAGCAGCTGGAGCACAAGTTGGATAAAGTCCTGCAGAAACGCAGCGAGCTGTAAGTAGCTTTCGTCATCTTCCCTCATTTTGCACACAAAGGTAAACGGATATTTGTGTGTATTTCTCCAGCGACAAGTCGGTGCGCCACAAGAGCCGCCAAAAGTACCAGGAGTTCCTCGAGGAGCAGACCAAACGCAACGAGCGCAACAAGAAGCTGGTCCACATGCTGGAGCGCATCGACGAGCAAACGGCTGCCATGTCGCAGCGGAGCGAGCGGCTTAAAATGATGAAGGTGAGTCCACCGACTGTCCGGAACTAATGTGAAGTTAAACACACTCGGATATTCCAGAAATCTAATGCCTAGAAATAAGAAAACTGTTTTAAAATACATCCTACAGCTTTTCTTCAATATTAAAACCTGTTTTTGGTTAGAAGACATTCTACAAATTGTTTTAAGAAATTTGCAATTTCTTAGAATTTTTTATGAAAATATTTTACGATTTTACAAAAAAATTTAAATAAAGCAAATTTTAAATTTTATTACTCTTTAAAATGTTGAGTCTATCGTTTTGAGAGAGTTTGTATCTTTCGCTTCCACACCCGTAATTTAAGTCGAAATATTGTTTCTTCCTCTCTTTTTTGAAATCAGAGAATCTCCGAGAGAGAATTCTTCATAATGATATTATTTAATATCAATTTTACCAGTATTGCATGGTAAAAACGATATGCGTATAATAACAAATAATTACGGGCCAGTTTTTTTTTTCGTATTCAATTTTAAAATAAGTAATGTGCATAAATCTAAAAAAAGGATGATATAATTTCTTAAAAACTTGTTCACCTTTAAAAAGGTTTTTTTTAACGATAAAAGTCTAATATTATATACGAACTTTTTTCTTTGTATTGCTAATTTTTCCGAGTGCTTGAACATCACCCTAAAACCATATCTTTCTTTTCCCCTTTTCGAACAGCTGCAATACCAAATGTACTTTGCGAAATTGGTGCAGAATCAAACATTGCGATGCATCCAGCAGACGACGACTCCGACCGCCGGCGGAGTGATGCCGGTGCCTGTCCTGATGCAACCGCAGCCGCAGGTGGCGACCAATCCGCAGTCGACGCCGCAGCCGCAGCCCTGGACCTTTGCCATGGCCACGCCCACGCAGGCGGGCATGCTGTTGACGCCCCAGTTTGCAGCAGGTCCTCCTGTGAGTCCCATTCCCCAACCCGTTCCCATTCCCACGGCTGCCCATCCTGTTTACTATCCGGAACTCTTTGGCCCGGCAACTTCAACTGGGGCAGCTCCCCTTGGCACCTCGAACCTGTTCGATTTGCGCGCCACCCTGCGCGCCTTTGATAATGAGAATGCCGATTTACCGGAGCGCATGCAGCCCCACTTGACAGGTGATTATCAGGCGGAGAGAGTTGCTCCTCCACCAGCAGCAGCAGCAACACCCACATCGACTTTATCCAGCCAGGAGAACCAGGTGGCGCGGCAGCTGAGCAGCACTTCCTCGACAATGGCCACATCCTCGTTGACATTTGATAAATTGCCAAAGACATCGTCGCCTTCGCTGACGTTAACTGAGCTGCCGACTGCAGGAGCAGGAGCAACTTCTGGACAGGATGGGCAACCGCAAGGGGAAGTCGGGAAGGGCCAACTGGATGCCTGGACAAATTCACGCGTGACTAAAGTCGAGTATGAAAAATCACCAACTGTCGTTAAGCATAATGAGACGGGCCAGCGACATCAGCAGCAGCAACATCAAGAGCTACATCAGCAACATCAGGAGTTGCAGCAGCAACATCCTCCCCCACGCGACTTTGAAGCATACTTTGGTGAGCTGAAAATCGATGAGTCGAAGCCCAAACCCCCACTGAACCTAAACCCAAGCCCAAACCACGAAGACAAACGCCCCTTAAACGTGCGTTTCAGCGAGGCAGTTGGAGGAGCAGGAGGTAACCAAGTTGGCATCAGCAACGATTTGCTGGACGAAGTCAAAGCCAGTCGGTTGGCACTGGAAAGAGCAGCGGCTGCGGTTGATGAGCAGCTGGCAAGGGGTAATCAATTGTCGCCGCCAAGCAGCCAAAGTCAGGAGCAACCCGAAACCGGTGTGTCGATTGAGAATATTGAAAATGCCATTTACGGCGAACGTTTGACAGGGGGAGGAGTATCAGCAGGAGCAGCAGGAGGAGGAGCAGTAACTGAACAGGGATTTTTTGAAAATTTGGTTACCAACACATCGCCAGAGGTGGAACTTCAGGAGGTGGAACAACAGCAGCAGCCAGAGGTCTCCGGTTACGGGCAATACGAGGCCAGCAGTGAGCCCATCTATGCCAGCATCGATTCACCAAAAGTGGAGCCGCTTTACAGCGAAATCGGAAATCCCACAGACTATCAGGGATATGGCGAAACAAGCGATGTAACTGCTGCTGCTACTCCTGCTGCTTCTGCCGAAACTACGCTGGATCCCAATGGCGAGGTCCTGCCGCAGGAATACTCCAATATTGATTACGGCAACTACGCCGGCTATGATCCCAATGCCTATCCCGGGTATATATACGATGAGGCCACGGGCCAGTATATAGCCGATCCGAACGCCGCTCAATATGCGCCAGATGGTGGCTATGGTGGTCAGGAGTATGATGCGGGTGCAGTGGGCAACTACGACTACAGTGGCTATGAACAGTCAGCGGATCAGCAGATGCAGCAGCAGCAGGAAGAGCAACTTCAGGAGCAACAGCAGCAGCAGCAGCAGCAGGAGGGTTATACCAACGAAGGGGTGGTAGAAACCCCCTTAGAAGCCCCACCGGAAGTGGCCATCGAAAGTCCTGCTGCTGCTCCTGCTCCTGCTCCTGCTCCTGCGGAACCCCAGAAACCCTCGAAACCCACATCGATACTCTCCTCGACGACAGACAAACAAGCGGCGCTTAATGATGCGCAGCAGCAGCAGCTAAAGAAGAAGAAGCGCGTTAATTTCGTTGACAGCAGCGAAACGGATGATAGCTCAAGCGCGAAACCGACCCAGGCCGCAAATCCAGGACCTCCTCCTGCTCCTGCCGCCGCCTCCTCCCCTGCCACGCCCCCAACGACGGGCGGAGGCGGCAGCGAGAGTGATTTCGATTTTTCAACCGGCAGCGAGGCGAAGAATTAGAACAAACCGTTGAAAAAAAAAACATTTCGAGCTCTAATTTGTTGCCATTTGGGTTAACCACCCAGTGCCCCTCCCCCAATTCAAAGTGAGCCACCGCTTCGATTTATTGCCAATGCATTTTTAGGGGGGAAGGAAAAAAATCGAGAAAACTGTAGGAAACCCAGAGGAAAATGGTGAATGGAGGGAAAAGAAGAACCGACTAATAGGTAAAAAGTAGTTTACCGAGAGGGAAAATGGCCAACCTCAAGCCACACAAAAGTTGTTGCTTACTTTGGGCGACGACAAACTAACAGCGATCGGCTAATTCAATATTCTTAGTTGCATGTCAAATAAAGCGAATAATCCTAAAAATATAAAATTAAATTGACTTTTATTTGAATATTTAGAAAAAATTGCAGGAATATTAGATCAAATACTATCCAAATACTGGTAAAATTTTCTATTATTTCCAAAAATAATTTATTTATATTCTAGGATCATAAACCAAATTTTTGATAAAGACATTATTTAGACGAAAATATTAAAACATTCAATTTAAATCCTTTACTATATTTCATTTGAATATTAAATATTTTAATTTAAGTCTTGTATTATATTTTGATTTAATAAATGATTTAAACTAAAATATTTATTATTTCTGCCTGAAAAATTTGTTTATCAACTATTTTGTTAAATATTTTTTTGGTGCTGTATATTTAGTAATAAAATAGCGAAAATAGCAGTTTAAACTGCTTTTATTAATTTATTTTTTGTCACTTCTGTTTACCATTCACTTTCAGCCTTGACACAGTTCGGCTGTTAACTGTTAACTGTGCGTATACGCAATATTCCGTATTAATACTTGACGCTGACACACTTTTTTTCGCACAGCGCCCACGCAAAAGTGTCCAGGCGAAATATTTCATTAACGACATCGGTAATAAGATCAGCAGCTGTTGCTGCCAGGCCGCAATTTATCAAAAGTGCAATTGTCTTTGCCGTGGGCGGTAGGCCGTGGAAATTACCTTTAGCAATATATATGTATATATGGCAAGCTGTATTTGCTGCCCAACACTCGCTGGCATCGCTGCCAATGACGCTAATTATGTGCGGCCAGGCGGTTAAAGCCACGTCCAGCAAATATGCTGATTCCCGATATGAGGAGCATACCTACCGGCTCATCTGCTTACTTGCCCAACAATCGCCAACTTAATTGAAATTGTGCCAGCAAAAGTACAATGCTCTTTCGCCTTATATATAGAGTACATGATGGCATAAGCATATATGTAAAATAAAACAAGAAAGGAAGATAGATTCGGCCAGGCAAAGTTTATATACCCTTGCAGATCATTTATATTAAATTACAAAATGTTAAATTTTTATCCTATCTATGGCGACGTAAGGAAGTTATGTATCGAAAAAATGTATAATTTTTTAAGGTATAATAGTTGTCCGATCCGCCTGGTTTCGACTTATATAATTCCTGGAAAAAGATGAAGAGTTTTGGGAAAGTTTCATCTCGATAGCTTCAAAACTGAGAGACTAGTTTGCGAGAAACGGACGGACAGACAAACGGACAGACGCCATGTCCGTCTAGAGCGACTCGTCTAGTAATGCTGATCAAGAATATATGTATACTTTGTAGGGTCGGAAATGTCTCCTTCATGGCGTTGCAAACTTCTGACTGAAATCATTATACCCTCTGCCAGGGTATAAAAACAGCGGCATTTTTTCTTTCACAATTTTAATTTGATTCACAGTTAAGGCTGTGAAAGCGCTTATATATTTTCATTTTCGACTAGCGGCTCCAACTGTTGCTGACATTTTTCCATCAACTTGAGTGGCCAAGGACATTTTGCTTTCGCTTAACGAATTTCAACCGATCATCACGCTCATTGGTATGCATTCATACATCGCCGGAAGTGCCATTTTCCATTTTTGAAATAATTTTATCAAGTTTTTAATTACACTTCAAGTCAGCCATGCTTCATTTTTGCTTTTATTTTTTTTTCTTATTTCTCTGCTGGCTTAATTTCAATTAATTTCTGCATTGAACATAGGACAACAGTAAAAATGTAATTAATACATATAATTGGCCTGTCGCAATGTCAACGCTTGAGCACATCAAACATTTAAATCAAATGTCAATCAATTTTTGTGGTCGAGTCATTAAATATTTATAAAACCATTGGGACTACGCCGCACACTGTCCCTTTGCATATATCCGCATTTAAAGCCAATTATTGCTGGGAAATCACTGCAGTGTTGGGTAAATAGACTAACATACCACCCACTCCCCGTCATTGAACCCATTTTTGTTTCACTTTTTAATGAGTTGAACATTTGAAGCCGTAGAAAATGAGAGAAAGTAAACCGAAATGAAATGAAGGAAGAAAATCGAGCGGGTAAAGTGGCAGTGGGCAACTTTTTCAGAACAGAAATTCGCAATTAAATGTAACACACAAACCTCAAAGGCAAATGGCAATATAAAATGTAATGGGCCACATTTAAATGGGGGGCAGAGAATTCAGACAAATTTCCCCAACGTTTCTGTCACTTCAAATGAAATATTTGCATTGACCCGAACTTTTTCCATCGGGCGAAAAAGGTTTTAAATTCCTGCTAATGACGACGCAGGAAAAAAAGCCCAATTTCTTATCAAGCAGCTAATTGCGAGCTCAATTTACGACAAATGAAAAATACCCAATAGAGATCCCTTTGAAATTAAAGCCAAGCTGTTGAAGTGCAAAGGTAAATATGTATGATTTGAAATTAAATTGTGGCTGAGGGGAAATGCCGCTGCTTTTTCACGCCCCACTACACAAAGCTTATAAAGCGTTTTGTCAAAGAAAACATTATATAAATACGACATATGGTAAATGTGTGTCCCTGGCAGCGCAATTCAAAAATAAATTGCAAAGCAAATCAAATCGACACGTCGCAGGTAAGAAGGATAAAGGATTATAGCTGCTTCGCCCACAGTCTGCATAATTGAGTGGCGCTTATTTATGCACCCCCGGCAACCGGATAGCGCAAACAACGGGGTTCCCCAATACCGCCCCCAATCAATGCATCCCCAGAATCCCCATCCCCTATATAGCCCCTATATATGCTCTGCAAAAAAGGTGGAAAAAATATAATCAGTGCTGAAATTCAATTTGGAAATAAAACGCAAAAGCAAACGCAAATCGAGAAGCAAAATTTCCAATGCCATCGAACATATGCTGGGTTAGGGTTCTCTGGTGGTTCTGATGGTTCCGATGATTCTGATGTGGTTGTGCATCCTGTGTGTGTGTGCACACCCAGTGAGGCAGAAACAAACAAGGTGGAAACACCAGGAACCACCATACGCGGCGTATGATTGACGGTTATGCAAATGACATTTTCGGGGTAAAGGCAGAGGCAAGACTCTCCTTTCCCCGATAATATTTATAGAGCAGTTATGGTAGTATGAATAAAGAAGTTGGCTTTGTGGGGAACATAAATGATGGATGGATTGAACCTGTCGGAAATTAATTTCCAGTTGTAGTAACTTGAGGCGAAAGTTTTCAAAGGCGGAATCATCGGTACGTCTCAAACAGCTTTGGGGTTAAACTACCTCTTTCCTTAGAAAATGTGAAGAACAACAAATCTTTAACGTTAAAAGTGGTAATTATAGCACTACATTTTTAATAAAAGCTAAATTTGCATTTAAAAAAAAACAATACAATTTCAGAAATTTGAAAATTGGAATTTTAAAATTTTTTTAACAGTTAGAAAATTTTTCAGAACTTTAAATTTAAAAATAATATTTTTTCCAAATGTTAGGAACTTTAAATAGAAACTTTAAATAGAATTGAGTATTTTTACAATTTTGTATTCTTAAAATTTTTTTAATTATTATAATTTTTATAACATTTTTAAAGTAAAACTTCCAAATACAAGAAACTTAAAACTCCAATTTACATTTCACTTTAATTTTAGTGCCTGGTGATATGATATTCCTTTGTCTGCTCGTCCACTAACTAGCCTTTATTTGGGATGGGTTGGTTTCATTGGTTTCGTTGCCAAAACGCAAACATTGGCCAATGGAGATACTATAGTTTTTAGTCCCCGATCCAGCTCATCGGGCGCTGCACTGACATTAACGCTAATTGAAAACATGAAAGGCGATACACCAGCCAAACTCCGAACCCAACTCCCCGTGTGCCCGCCATCCGTGATGATTAGTGCACGTGCAATGCTTTCAGCTTTCAGACTGTCTGTCTTTCAGTCTGTCTGTCGAAAACCCGTCGATGTGTAGTCTCCCATGCCGCCTGTCACCTGGCTCACCTGACTCACCTGCCCACCTCGCAACCAACGTTTTCCTGTTCAATTTCGTGCTATTTTCATGGTGAAAAGATAACAAAAGTTTCGCCTCACTTTGCCGCGCTGGCAACATAAGAGTTTTCCCCACGTTTTTCCGCCAACTTATTATTGTTTAAATATTTACACTGAAAATGGCGGAGGCAGCGGCAGCGGCGTTGGCGGCAAGGGTGCGATTCCTGCTGTCTTTTGTGTCTCCGTGTCGTTTTCGTTGTCCTTGTAGGTGCAGCCATATGCGCGACAAGTTCCTCTAAAGGGGGTAAGGGGGGCACAAAGTTTTCCAGCCACTTCTACTTTGGGCCCGAATTGGAGCCATGGCATTGTCACGCAGTTGTCTTCTGGGTAGTGCGACTTTTGCCGGAGGTATGCGTATGTGCACTAAGAAAAACTTCTAAACAATTCTAAAAAAAGTTAAACCTTTGAAAATGTAGGTTTCAGAAAATAGGAAAAAACAGTTACTGCTCATCTAAATACAAAATTTTTACTGAAAATGTAAGAACTAGCTATTTTTGTACAAAAAGGTAGAAAAAAAAAATTTTTTTTTTGAATTTAATAAATCAAAAAAATTAAACAGAAATAACAAAATAAAGAATTTAAAAAATGTTAAACTTTATTATATACAAATATAAACAGAAAATGAACTCTGAAAAAACTATATTACTTTAAAAAAAAAATAATAATATCAAATTAAAAACGAATATATTTTTTTTGTGATAACCAAAAAGAATTCATTTTATGATTTAGTAGCAAAAAATGTTCTTTGTTTGCACCTGAGTATTACCTTGCGTATTTTT